TACCGCATTAGAAATTACTCTACAGATAATTTTAAAGAACTCCAATTCTCCAGATTATGCATACTTAATTTATATATATATATATATATATATATATTTTTTTTTTTTTTTTTTTTTTAATATATGTTAAACCGTATTTCCACAGTTCTTTTTCACAGCTTCACTTGTTGAATTCCATTTAAAGTATTATGATACTAATGGTAGGATGTACTCTATAGGAATCAAATAACTCACAATATTATATTCAAATATAATACTTCGATAAGGAGAAAATAATTAGATTTCGTTGAAAGAAGATGTCTTTCAAACTTAATTTGCTTCTATGAAATATTGTCGTTAATTATATATTTATGTATTTTCATATTATTGTATATTTTGATACCTAATATTTTTGAAGAATTGTTTATAAAAAATTATTTTTCATTTTGTGCGCATCTGTATTTTGATTTTAGATTAAAAATAATTTCAAAAACTAGGATTCCCGACATACTTGTAAATTAACTTAGAACGCTTAAAAGAAATATAGTCAACAAAAATTAAATATATATTGATTATTCATGGTAAAATTGTTGAATTAAAATTAAGAATTTTAGAAATTTTTTCTTTTTAATTTGACATATAATTATATAGTTTATTGATTAATGATTTATTTATTATAACGTTACTAATATAATGTATTATGATATTCAATTTTTTGAGACCTAACTTTATATTCGTTTCTATAAATAATTTCTGTAACAAATTTCATATTTATTCATACAACTAACTCTTACAAATTTGTTCCTACACATTATATGCATCTACCATAAAAATTCAAAGAGGTAGTAATAAAAAATCTTCTAACTTTCTCTTAAATACAATTTGTATTTTGACACTACAATAGTCGTGATATCAAACGAATAGATGTAAGAGCATTTTATGTTAATCTCCCCGTTGGTGGATCAAAAGTCGTTTTTTTTTTTTTTTTTTTTTTTTTTTTTTTTTTAATTCCAATGAAACAGTAAAAGTGCTTAAAAATGTCCTTATTTAATGATTTTCTGATAAAATATAAAATAAGTCATGTCATTTAAGGAAGATTTATTAAATTTATAATTCTAATATGCTAACATATTAATTATACTTTTTATACATAAAATTATACCTTAAAATAAATGTATAATATATATATATTATGTATAAAATGAAAAATATGAAATGGATCGAATTACAACTATCAAAAGTAAGATGACATTTCCAACAATAGAAAACGGCTCTCCTTAAGAAGTATAAAACTTTCGAACTTTTCATCCACTAAACAAGACTTTAACGAAAATATTATTCATTGATTTTATTTGCATGTATTGATTGTAAATTTATATTTTGAATAAAAAAAATTTTTTAAATATGGAAATTGAGGAACGAGCTCTAATATTGATAGCATAATTTATAAATAAAAGAATCTATTTATCATTACATCGTATTATTTGATAGCAAGAATGTAAGTTTATGTATTAAACTTTTTCCAAAATCATTCCAAAAAAAAAAAAAAAAAGGGAATAATAAATTTTTCTACTGTCTATATTTGATTGTGAAATATCTGCAATGGTTAGATCAAGGCTAGATGAATTATAAAATTGTAATTTGTGAAACTGGAATAGCTTTACGTGTCGTGAGCATTAATCATTTTTTAAAATTTCAATAAAAAATTTAAGATAATTTATATTTAGATTCTTAAAAATGGAAAATTATACTGACTTTATTATCACCTTGTGAAAATGCAATTATTGTTCCCAAAATTATTGAACATACGTGTCAATGTATATAAATATCTTAACGTTACTTTCGAATATCCAGGAGTTTAAAAAAAAAAAAAAATGGTTGAATATAGGTGTATTCTTCGAGATAAATATAATAACGATGAAATAGTAGAGAAGACTTCATAGAATAAATTATGGAATAGTAGTACCCCACTTGTTTTTTACAAGCTTCAAGGTTCTCAAAATCTGAGTATTATATAATATTAATAAATTTACAAATAAAAGTAATATTGTGAAATAATGTATAATAAGTGTAAAGTATTTTTTTATATTATATAGCTAAATGTTTTTAATTTGAGAAAGTCGTGAGTATCGTATTATAGATAACTAAAGATAAATTAAGCATTCAATGCTAACTGTTTTGATAGATTATGTCCTAATTAATTAAGCCATGATAACATAAGCGATAAATATTTTATGAAATAATAATTTTAGAATAAATTGGAATAATTAGCTTAAGAATGTATAAAAATATAATTGTAGTATAGAATTAATATAAAAATTTCAGGATTGATATATATATATATATATATATATATATATATATATTTATTTATTTATTAGATATAAAAATGACTATTTTTATAAATGCAATTAAAAGGTTTATATAATTTGTTAATAATTGATGCATTAATTTAAAATGCAAATATTTGCATTTCATAAATTAAAATAAAAAAAATTAATACATTGCCGATTTGAAATGTTATAGACAATTTGGGTTCAATTTGAAAACATAATTCAAAATACTTAAAATAATATTATTAATGTACATTAGAGATGGTCAATTTTATATATTTGTATATTTATAACGATTTATCAAATTAAGACAACGATATATCCATAAATTTAATAAAAATGCCAGAGGCTTGGACCATTTTTTTCTCTTTGAATCAGTGAAACTAGTTAAATTACAATAATATTGAGACTTAAGCTGAAATTAACATAGTGGAAAAATCTGTAATAGGTGCAGTTAACGAACTTTCCCTTGATTCAAGTCAATTTCACACCGAAGAGAAACCGCAAGTATCATCAATTGCGAACAAAACACGGAAAAATACTAAAGTTTCACATACCAGTTCTGAAAAAGTTTCTTAGTGGTCCAATCTAATAGCTTGATATATCGAGTTATGGAGCTAATTAAGTTTATATAGAATACGTAAAATAACAATACCTGAAAAAAAAAGTTATTTAAAGCTTGATGGGATTATTATCGATACAACCACTGACATATATATTATTATTAAAAAGAAATTTTCAGCTTATTTCTAGAATTTACTTTCTACTTTAATTAACAACCTATGCAAATAATCACGCTATTAATTAATTTTAATCTTTTGTCTTAGAACGATATTAAATTCGAAACTTGGAACTTTTGGAACTTTCAAAAGGAATTTCACAAAACCTATTGATCGTCATGTCTTTTATATAGCACATACCACGCACGCAGAAACTTGTGCTCCATAAAAAAAAAAAAAATAAAATAAAACTTGACAAGTTGGTCTTCATTCTTGGCTAGAAATGAAACATTATAGGAAATTTTCACCTTCGAAAGCAACGGCGAGGATTAGCATTATCATTGAATTTCCCCTATACGAATTGGGTGAAGAAATCTTGGAAAAGAATGACGGAAATGACGAGTGACACTTTTCAGGAACGACAAAAAATTTGTGTTCGAGCAACTTTATCCTGTTCGTGCATTCGGTGATTTCGCCGTTGAACGTCCCGCGGATCGAACATTTTCACTGCTTGTCGGACTAATTGGCTGACTTTTTTTCTTTTTTTTTTTTTTAAAGAGTATTGTTCGGAGGATTATTTATTCACTCGTAAAAATGAGCGCTGCGGCTGTAAAATTTCTTTTATTTTCATTTACATCAGCAAATAATACCTTGCGCGATGAAACGCAAGTTTTTGAGATCAAATATTTGCACGTACTATGGAACAGCGCGGAGGTCATTGAACTCGGATGTTCCAAGGGACCTCGACTCAAATACGCCAGACTTTGGTTAATAACAAACAGTACATTGAAATATCACGATTGCCTATTAAATTGATTATAAATTTCCAAAAATTAACAACAAATTATGTAATTCCTTTAGTTATTTTTTGTCTTACAATATATTTTATAAAAAGTTAAAAATGCAAAAATGCAAAAAAAAATTTTACCCTATTGTCTAACAGCGAAATTCATAATTTACACATAATAAATTGTAATTTTCAAAAATCTCTCTCTAACCTATATTATTCGATAATAAAATAAGAGCACAAATGACATTCCGTTATATTTATAATAATTTTCAAAGCTGAACTTCATATTATTATTGTATAAAAATATTTGAAAATTGCGTAATTGCAAATCGAGGCTACTCGAAATATCCCCTTATGTATTTATAAAATTCCAAATAAAATCTTAGAAGCTTTTAAGATATTCTCCGGTTATAATTTACGTGTGGATTTAAATTGGAAACCTTAGCCCAAAATATGCAAATGAAAACTTGAGAAGACCGAATTATGCTTTACCCCTAAAAATATAAATAAAGTTCAGTTGTTTTACAGCTTTGAAATAATAAAACGACTATAATAGGAATTTGAAAAAAATTATATTCCATTGATATTGGCATACTATTTTTAGTTTCTGCTTTCTTCAACTTTGTAATACGAGAGTGTAGTGAAATTTGTATGGCATGAGTTAAAAAAAAAAAAAAAAAAAAAAAAAAAAAAAATCTTACAATGTGAATAAAACAGTTTTCTCATAAAATTTTTGTGTTTATCTCTAATTATACGAACGACATAATTAATATATAAAGTTTATTTTTAATATGGCTAATGAAATACATGATATTAAATAAAATAATATATTCCCTATATCTTTACCGATCCTGTATTTACTGACAGAAATCATTTTATTTAATTACCAATGAAAAAATATGATTAGCTAAATGTGAGTTTTAACAGTAGGAAAATATGTCTCTGCGCGATTATTAATAACAATATCGATTATCTCAATGGCATTAAAGTAATGTCAGTTACAACATTCGACAAATTTTCGTTATTTAACGGCGTAGCGTATGAACCGAATGCACACATTCGTTACGCTACAAATGAAAGACTGTTTAATGCATCGCAATGAAGAAGAAAAAAAAAAAAATAAATAAATAAGGTAATCAATGACGATTTAACGATTCTGTGACTCGTGAAATTACTTACCCTCATTATCGACGAGCCTTTGTGTTGCAGTCGCCATACTAAATTTTTTGTCTATAAGAAAATCAGAGAAGAAAAAAAAAAGTTAA